AAAGAGAAAACATATTCCCATCCACTTTCTTTGTCATGTATGTTTTTCAGAGTTTACAGTTTATGAAAAAATGGCTAGTATCAACATTATTGAAGACAGGGAAATAATTTTTATTTTGTTAGGTATCCAAAGTGCTCATGAAAAATTGTATTTAAAATCCAAAATAGTAAATACGGAGATTTATTTAAGCATTAACTCATGGTAGGGGTATGCAAATTCTTTTTCATGAGCCAGATTATGGCTAGAGTTTCTTCCAGGAGAAAAAGACAAAGCATGCACAGGTATTGCTGCAATTAAATTCTGTCTGTTTCTGAAAGTACCATATTACTTTATTCATTATAGCAGAGTCACAAGACATAAAACATATATGCCATCATTTGAGCTAGTCACTTAAAACCTGTGTTGTTGAAGAGATATTTTATGAAATTTGCTTACAATGTACATTGTTTCAGTTCTCTAGCACCCGAATATAATGGAAAATTTGGCTTACTGTGTGTGGACTAGAATAATTGGTTTTCACCGCCATTTAAGATCCATCCCTGTGCACAGATCGAGTCCTAACTCCTTTGTAAGTCTCATTCTGAGGCATTGTTTGAAGGAGAAGGTAAATTTGTCTTCTGGTTCCCTATGCTGGTGGATTCTCATCCAGATGAACCTTGATGTTTGGAAACTGATATTAAAAAGGAACTGGGTGAGGAACAAATTGCGCAACAGTGAGGTTTTTTATCACTGCTTTTTTAAATGCCTCCTTCATAAATTTTATTAACATTTTCAATTTGCAGTATATTACTGATTTCCTGGTGGGAAACGAAAAACATCATATTTAGATTTCAGTATTATCTGGATGAAAAAAAGGCTTGTTGGACCTGGTGGGCCTGTGTATGAATAAACAGAAATTAAAATCTGTCCAACAGTGAGACATCTGTTATTTTTTTCTGGACATTGGTGGGCTAATGGGTAATCTGGGGTAGTCAATTGTAGCAGGTGCTCTACATAAAACAAATTTCAATTACTCCTAAATACAGTCATTATCATTCATAACTGACAGTTCACTTGAGTGCAGGCTTCACTGTACTGTGGGCTGGGGGAGACCCCGTTCAACCCCATTCAGTCCTAGGCAAAAGCTGCATACTGACTGAACAGTTGTAAATGACTCATTCCTCAGAACTGGCTTCATCAACAGAAGTTGCTCCAAAACAATAGCTCTTTTTTCCCTATACTTGGCTCTTCCTGTCTTTTCCTTTAGCTGAGCTTTTCTTCCCATGTGTGGTGACTCCCTAGATTTCCCTTCCTCGTGACCTGTCAGTCCCAAGCTCAAGATCACTCTGCTGTAAGGTTGCAGTCCTTTGAGCTCTACCTGCCACAGATGCATCCACAGTGTTTAACTTGTGGTTCTGCACAGGTGCCACTCTGCAAAGTGTGGGTCACCCATCCAAAACACACCTCCCCACCGAGGAAAAGACTGTGAGGAACTGTTCATGTTGTTCTCCTTCCTTTTCTTGTATGAAGTTTGTTTGCTTGTTTAGATGGCTGCATAAATTATAATTTTCAAAATATGAAGGACTAAATGGAAAGCTCTTAACCTTTCCCCACTAATCTGTAAGGAACGTTTCCTTTGTGGTATGGTGTTGCTGGGTTTGTAGTTAAGTAGAGTGAATTGTCTGTGGTTAGCAGTTTTGTTTATTTTGTTGTGAGGAGCTGGTTCTGCATCAGCTATGCCCAAGAAATGTCAGCATTTTAAAAGTTGCAGATGCAGGCAGTAAATCCTTTGGAGGAAGTGTGAAAATTTATATCCTTATTGAATAACAAGTTTATTAATTATTGACAGTCTTTTAGGAGGGAGAGGGAGAAGATATGAATCTGAAGGAACGCAGGGAAAAGTGGTTGTGCAGTATGCACGCATTCCTCCAGGTCAGGAGCTTCTTCAGCAAAAAGAATAGGAGCAAGGTGTTGTCCAAGGACGGGGTCTCAGCTGGGAGAGCTGTGTGCATGCTCAGATAGCTTTTTAGCTCGATGAAACAAAGAGGGAACCTTGTAAAACTGAACTAAAGCACAGATAGCTGCAAGAGTTCTTTCATTTTGTTTCTGTGCACCTGTTTCTAAAGCTAATAAATATTTTGTTAATCTTGTACTTTAATGAAACACATTCATTCTTCTCTTTAACCTTAGTATTTGTCTGCCACTAACAGTGATGCCAAGACACCTGGCTGACCACAGACCTGCTTGCTCCCAAGCAAGTGTGGTCTGTAACTATGGGCCCTGCCTCCCACATGGAGTGTCTCGCCCCCTCTACAAGATCCAAGGGAAGCCCAAGGTGGCAAGGTGCTGCTTCGTTAATTTGCCTGGTCTAGCCTGAGATTGGGCTGCTGCTTGGGAGAGATGTCTTCCAGTGCTGAGGATTGCCCCAATTATTTGTGGCAAAAGGTAGAGGAGGGAGGGAGCTTGAAGTCCAGAAGTCCATGACAGTTTGTATCAACATGCTTACGATGTGGGACAGTACAGGGATCCTACAGCCTGGAAGCTTCAAGTACAAACTGGACAAAAGATGTTCATGTGCCAGTCTGTTGACTCAGGGAGCTGAAATAATCAGTATCAAAGGCAGTAGTGGAAATGCATGAACACACTTACAAGTGATACTGAATTGGCTTCACTACTGCATGAAATTGTGTGGGTGCAGAAACATTTCCTCAGTGCCATCTGAGACTCAGATAGTTGTCTTCTCTTTTGTGGTGTATGTCCTAGTTATATTTCAGTGTATTTTTTCAGTTAAACAACTATTTATCAGATATTTATCAGTTGGTATGTACCATGCCATAGGACTGATACGCTCTACTTACTGTCTTGAACATCATCATGGTATAGCTGTTGTTATATTTGTTTTTAATGATGGTGAAAATTCAAGAAGCATACTTACCGTGAGGACTGTTAGCATGGATAAGTGCATGTAACATCAAATTCCTCATAATGTAATACTCAAGCAATAAATAAAGTACATTTCTTCAGCTTCTCTCTCTTCTTGCAATAACATTTTCGGAATATACGTGTGTGTGGTCCTAATAAACCTGCCAAGCTCCCTCTGCCTTGGGAAATATAAAAAATACAAATTATTTGTAAATACCAGCAGTAGCATTCAAAGAATGATACATCTTTCCTACCCTCAAAATACATGCTGCCAGTAAAAGTATGTCTGATATAAAAGTTCCTACTGATTTTCAGCCCTGGCAAGGCACAGGCATAGCATCTCTCTTCATAAAAGTGGAATGTGGCACAGAGCCTTGTCCTGACTAATAATACACTGGTCCTTCCTTACACCCTTCTTTGATTTCAGTTAACTTCTGTGAATAGGGGCTTGCACTGGGCAGAATCAGATCCAGGGCCTGTGTGCCAGGTTCTCTTCTCACTTCAGGAAATTTCGTGTGGACTTCATTTGAATTGCTAGTGTAAATGAGAGGGAGAACCGAAGACCTGAAAATCTTATAGCCCAAGTAATGTATCGGTTCTGCCAAATTTTCCTACCAGTACTCAGCACAGGACAGTGCTTGAATGAGCACCAGGCATCTATATAAAACAATGTCTTCCAATTCCCAATTTTTTTTCTGTTTAATGACAGGTTGAAGCCATTTATTACTTTGCTGTGGGTGATGTTCCAGTGGACACAAAGCAGCTACTTCTTGAGAAGGTTTCTGATGGCCCCTGTCCAGTCAACACTGTTTCTTTCAATGCTAGGGAAGATGAAACTATTATTTTTCTGAAAGAGTTGAGCTGCTTGGCCTCTGGCAGGTATGACAAAGAAGCACACACAGTAGTAATTTCAGTACTTGTAAAGTGCTTTCCTGCTAGGAATGGTATTGGAAGATATCTGAATATAATCCCTGTTTTACTCATGAGGAAAATGAGACAAAGCAGTTCAGTAAGCTATCTGGGGAAACTGGAGAAATAGTCTAAGAGATACAACTAAAATGTGGGATTTACTTGAACAGACCAGCTTCTTCCACATATATGCTCACTGGCTTGCAGAAAGGCCATTCCTTTTTTATATCCTAAATTGTCTGTCATCTGCTCCTCTTTTGAAGTCTGAAAAATTGTTCAGGGAAAAGGGTCACAACATAAACTGAAACAGGTTTTTATGGTATTGCTTTGTACTCCAGTAATATCCACAGGCACCAGCAAAGGATTTAGAGTTTTGTTGGATCAAGTGCCATACAGACATGTACTGAAAAGGTAATGCCTGTCCTAAATGGGCGGTTCCTGGAACAATAGAAAATTGATGTGGTGTTATCCATCAGGCCTGGTTGTGTGGAAATGCATTCTGTACCATGCTCTCTAGCATCTATTTGGTATGGTTGGTGGAAACTGATATATTCCACATGGCTTGTTGGCTACTTTATCCTGGGAATCAGCCGTGTGGTGAGAATCAGCCTTCAGTAAAAGGGATAATAAAACTTTAATCTTGATTCTGATATCAAAATAAGGAAAACAAATGAACAAACACAAAACCCTGCAATAGCAAACTCATGCTGAACAGCAGGAGGGCAGTAGGAGTCAGTAAGTGTTTGTCTGCTTAACAGAAGTCACCGTACAGTTACAGAGCTGTGAAATGGCTGCTAGCTCCTTCTGTTTCACTGTTGTTTGTGCAAGAGTGGGAAGACCTCCAACAGTAGAAATCTCCCAAATGACAGCAGAGTAATTGGTAAGATGGCAGCTGCTTAGCTCTTTTATAGCCATCTGTGTTTAGAAGTAGCTTTTAAGAGATGGAGTCTCTGCCAAAAAACAAGACTGTGGGAAGGTGTTATGTTTGCTCTGGTCTCATGTGTGTCTAAAATGATTGTGGTCATTTAGAACTGTGGTACCTCCATGACACCAGGTACATTGCCAGGCACCATCCTTCATTTTCTTTTGGCAGTGTTTTTACCTCCTTTATAAAAGGAAAGCGAATGTTTCTTGTATGGTAGAGAAGGAGGCAATAAGAGTTGTGGCAGGGAGCTGAGAGGAATAATTTTTTTTTTATATGATTCCCACTATCTTCTTTTTACATGAGTCTAGCTTTGGTGCAGAGACTTACTGGGCCAATTAATACCTTGCTGGTGGGTATTTGCCCCGTAACTGTCCATAAGTTTAAGTCAGCTTTCCCAGGAATGGTCAAGTTCATGGGCTTTTCATGGCTTGAGCCTGTTTCTAGTGTAGTTCTCTTTTAAAAGTGCATCTTCTTCCTGCTGTGAGAGCTTTTCTGTTTTGACAATGAGGGTAAATGAAGTCTGCTTGACTTCCTGATTTGTATGTCGATAATGAAATAAATGTTCCTGTTGGGCTTTCAACTGGGAGGATAATCTGATAAAAAGGTGTTAGTGTCATCTCAGACATCTCAAATGACATGCTTGCTCAGCATGTTAAAAGCATTAATTAAAAATAGATTTCCCGGAGATTGAAAAGGAAGGTGCCTCAGAGTAAAAGATACCAAAATGAAAGGATGTTCTTCATGAGAAGACTTCAGAACGTACATAAATGTATATAAAAGGTTTGATAATATTCATCGTGTTGTTGTAGCTGAAGGTTTAGATATCTTGAATAGATAAGCAAATAATTCCAAAGTTGTGCACCACTATGATCTTGCGTGTGTGACATACATGTCGTTAAAATTAGGAAAGTATTTATGTAGTTTACATACTGGTGAAAACTCATTTTGTATTACAGATTCCATGCTTTTGCTGAGAAGAATGACTACAGAGATGCTACTGGACCTGCACCAAAATGTGAAGAGGATGGAAAAGGTCTAAGTGCCCTGAACTCCAGAAAAGTGAAAGGGCGAATGCCTCTAGGTAGACAATATAAAACCCACGATGATAGTAATTTTCACAGTGAGGTTTCAGCCTAGAAATGTAATATAAGAACTCGCTAAGTGTAAAATCAAAAGAAGCCTTCTGTAGGCATGGGGGGTGAGGACAGGAGTGGTCGAATGGAAATTCTGTGGGTGGGAAGGAGAGGGAAAGGAAAAGAGAGAAGTGAAGAGAGTAGAGGGTGTGCATTTAAGAATGAAAGAGAAGTGAAAAAAGAGAGACCAACATTTATTTAGGCAGATGAAGAATAGTACTGGTGTGCTTATGCCAGTGGCCTTGTGGAAATGTATAGAGAAATGGCAGAAAGGAAGAGGAATAGTGTGGAAGCCTATCTGATACAACAGCCACATCAATACAGGTCAAGTTCATACATAATGTAAGGGGTTTAAATCCACATGAGGTTGACTTGCTTCTCTCAAGATCTGAATTTGTCATAAAGACAGGCAACAAGCACAGTAAAATAACCATAGAGAAGAAGGTGCAAAGGGTCAGAGGGGGTGGGAACTGATGAAAAAAAACCCAGGAGGAAACAAATAACAGAAAGAAACTGTTTTACTGGGGGGTGGAGCTGGGCAGAAAGCTCTCAGTGTGTTTCATATTAGTCACAGTGCTACTTCCTCAGGGCAAGTTAGCCTTACTGTTCAGTGGGACTGGACTGGGATTTCATCCAGGTTGGGAGGAGACCAGCTTGTGAAGTGAGGCTGTGTATGTGAAGTCTGATATCTTTATCAGCAGGACATTAAATTAAAAAATTATTTCTTTTAAATATCAGGAGGCATAAGACCTCTTTATTCTCATGGCTCACATCCCCATTATGTCAGGGGCATTAGAGTTGCCCCAAAGGTAGAACGGTGTTAGCCTCTTCTTACTGCTAGGGAATGGATGGCATAAGGTGGATTTAGTGACTCACTTAAGGTCGTTTGTCCGTCTTGGAATAAATGGCCCATATTTCCTGGGCTGTAGTCTAGTTCTTTGTGTACTAACCTATTCTTCACTAGGACTGTGATTATAACAGCGTGATAGAACCATGGTGGGGGGACCAGAAATAAGAGAGTGAGGTGTCACCTGTTTTTTGGCTTGTGAAGGGCACTCAAGGCTCACCCACGGAGGGTTTAGAAACCAACAGCAGAGTATGCTTCAAAACCCTATCTCTTGTTTTGTACTAATTCAGAGCAGTATAATGATTGCCTTCAGTCTGCTACGAGTGCTTCCTTGTTGGACCCCATTTCGGGGTGTGCGTGGGGGGAGCTGGCTTCCTCTTCCCCCAGGCAGTCAGCCTGTTTCAATAGATGGGCCTAGAGCTCCTATATGACTGAAATTACTTCTTCACCACTGTTTCTAAAGCTGAAAGCTGAATAGCTTTAATTGCTCAAAAGGGCAGTAATCCCCTTGAAGGGCATTGTCTGTTGTGTCTTATTGCTATTATGGAGTAGAATTTACACATTAAAAAGGAACACAATTAGCTTTCTGCATTTACTGGGTATTATAAGCACAGTCGTGACATCACTGGTAGCCAATCAGAGCATTTCAGTTGTATGCAGAATCTGAAGTCCTTTCAGAAAAGAAAACACATTGGAGACATTATTCTGGTCTGTGTCTGATGTCTCTTGTTTCAGAGACTCCTTCAAGGGTGTAGAAGGCAATAATAAAGTGTCGATTACTCACTAATGGGCTCTGAAACTCATTCTTGGATGTGTGGCATAAACTATGCAAGGAAATAAATAGAGAATGAACCAGAGATTTAATCTTCCAAATGTGGTGTTTCTTGAAAATAAGGGGAGGCACAGGAATATTTTGTTTATGTTTATTTTTGCACCACAAACGCAACAGCTGGAAACTGAAACTCATGTTTTATGGACTGGAAAAGCTGTTTTAAGGACATCTGATAGTTTTCTGGGTATCCACTGAAATACAGGATATCTTCATGTTCACTCTTTTTCATCTGCTTAACGAAAACAAGTTGGAAGTGAACTATTTAAAACTTTAGATAAGAGCTCCATTCTCCCCTGTTTTGCATCTTGAGCAGTCATTTAGAAAGCAAGTGTGAGAAACCGCCAAATTTGAATTTTTTTTCACACTCACTTTGAGTGGGTGCTTGAGATCAAAACAGGTGTAAGCCAATAAAGAATTAAGGTCCATATGTTGGCAGACTCAGATTTACTTAAGGCGGAGAAATGCTTTTACATAAGCCTGATTTCACCGATGTGGTGATATCTCCTCATCCAGCACTGATTTTCCTGTTATCACTTCTGCCCACATTCTTTGTGTTGCTTCTTCATCTGCAAATGATGCATTCATAAGCAATCCTGTTACGTAGTTAAAATAATAAGTGGAAGGGAGGTGAAATTTAAGTTGGAACTTGAAGACATAGAGGGCAAGAGATGGTGGAAGCTGTGGAGAAGAAGGTTCTTGCTGGAAGCGGCACAGTTCTGTCATCTGCTTGGAGTGACAGGGAGATGTGCTAAACAGGGCTTGAAAAGCAATGGCATTTTGAACTAGATCCTGAAATGAATAGCGGGTCTCTGTTGACTGAAATAGAAACAACAGTAAATCTCTGAGCAGTGTTTTACTGTGTGGTGGAATAGGTGAGCCGGTATGTGTAAAGAAAATGCATATGGACTGCAGTCAGGATTTGACTGTTGTGACAAGTCCAGAGAGAGATGTGTCTGACCTCCTTGTGAACAGTGTAAGGCTGTATTGTTAGGTGTGCTTGATTTTCCACATTTACCTGATGGTCACAGGGAAAATTTCAGGTTGCTGTGTGTAAAGTGGGATGCATAAGAGTGCCAGCCTCCTGTATGACATTAAAGTCAAAGAACTCTGCACTGTTTATGTGCACAGACATGAGAGAGACCAAACCCTCCCTTTGGAGAGCCAGGATAATGACTTAAGAGGAGCTACTTTGCCTACAAGCTGTAGCAAAGATCATTGCCTCTGCTTTTTCCTTGCATGTGCTTTGTCTAGTCTTAGCAGCCTAACCTTGGCCTGGCAGATCTCTTTGCTTATGTGTAGAGAGTGATGCAGATAGCCGCTCTGCGATACCACGTGGGATACAAAGTTCATTTGCTTTGTCCCTCTGCCCAGTGGGAGAGGGGCAGGATTGGGCTGCGGTGAGTTTCAGTGCTCCTTGGGCTGGCAGGTGCGCAGGTAAAGCTGCATAGTCCCCTCCTGTGCTCCTTTGTACCTCCATTCATTCCCCTCTTCAGCAGGGATTTTAAAAATCAACGCTTGAGGGAATATTGCTATGTTCTGCTGCCACGTAGAGGCTGAGGACGGGACCGGCAGTGAAAAAATGACATTGCCCATCTTGCCTTGTAGGCAAATAAAGTTTTAAATAGATCTTATTCCATTATATTTGGATTTGCTTGCTTCCATGGTCTAAGTCAGATAATCAGAGAAGTAAGAAATGCTTGTTTTCCATGAGTTGCTTTTGCATTGGTATTTGCTTGATGTTTCAAAGATACTGTAGATTTTGCAGGCTTCTTTTTTTTTTTTTTTTTTTTGTATGGGCTTTTTTTCTCAGCAGGTTTTGTATCTCGAGTATGAAATCAAATGGGTTACAGTGACTTGTCAAACTGGATGAGTTTGTCTTCTGGGAGGTAGGTGTGGAAAAACTGCTTCTTTTAAGATTGCCTGACAGTGTTAAATAACTGGGAAATGGAAATGAGGGCAGTTATGAGTTTCCGTGTACATGTTCAAGTGTGTTTGTGTTTTTGCTTAGACCTACCATCTTGCTCCTCAGTTCGCCAGTGTCAGCAAAATGCTTCTGCCCCTCACCGCAGGCTCTCCCCGCACCCTTCCCCATCCTCTTCCTCTTTTTCAGGGCCTCCCTCCTCTAGAGCAGAAATGCCATTTAACCGAGGGCAGGCCACGTCTCCAACGCTACCCAGGGTGAGGTGCTCCGCAGGGCCGCCATGGCCGCGGTGACTGCCAAAACCAACCCACTGCGCTCGGCAAAAACCGGGGACAGGCGTTAGGGCTTGAAGGCCGGTTCCCTCGTGCGTGTCTGGTGGCCGCCCTTTTGCCGTTGCTGTGTGGTGGTTTTTGAATCAGAACCAGGGGGTCCCCAGGGGTCTGGCCGTTAAACCGCCAGCCAGGGCGGCTGCTGGGGGGACAGGGGGAGGGCCCTTTCCCTCTGGGGATAAAGCGATTTTTTTAAGACGAGGTCTTTCCTGGGACACAGGTGCCTGAAGGCGTGCAGAAGCCTGTGGGCCTGGAGCGGTTAGGGACTGCACCCCCCAGGGGGGTGACTTTCAGCTGCTTTTCCCTTGGTGGCCCTCAAAAATGGCACAGCTGAGGTGCGAGCGCAGGGAATTTAAACTGAAGAGAGGTTTGTGCTTTCTTGGTCCTTTTTCACTGGTGCGCTTTGGGGGACGGGCCGCAGGTCGACAACCACACCTGGAAGATACTATGTGTTGTATGTGTATGTATATTTTGAGTTTGGAGGCTCAGTTTCAAAAGGCACAGCTTTTCCTTCCCACTCCTCCCTAGCTGGAGAGGAAAAGAGGCCGAGGTGGAGGTGGAGGTGAGCCTCCCGTGTCGAGAAAGTTGCTCTGGTTGTCACTGCTTGCAACCTGCTCTCCCAGTTGGATCCAGGAAAAACTGTTGCCAGATAAAAGGTTTTCTAAGCAACTAGACCTTCACAATGTGCAGTTGTTGATGCCTGCATTTGTCCTGTATAGTAAATGTCATCAAACGTACTTGCTTTGAAAGTGCGTGCAGTTTTACTTTGCTGTGCTGCAGCATAAATAAGGAAAAAATACCTTCTTGTGTAATACCAATTCAATACACGTATCTTACTAGGGACAGTAACAATAATCCTGTAAATTTGATGAGTCCATAGCATCAATTTAAGGGGAAATGAAGCAACACAGTATCATCAGTATTGTTTTAAAGGTAGTTGAAATATGCATACTTCTTCTGATATTTTCAAACATAGTGTTAAAAATGTTCATAAAATTAAATTTGGATCCCAGTATTTGATAGTTTATGGAGGATATCCAGATTTAGTTGGAGACAGCTCCACTGGAACTGCATTCTCAACAGACTTAAACTTAGAAATATGTGCATGTGTGGTGTGAATATGTGTGTTTTGTGGTTTTAACTGTGACAACAGGTGTGTATATATCTATTCAATGGCTGACTATTCATCAGAAAATCTCTAGGTCCCTACTTGCTGGAATTTTGCCAATGCTCAGATTTTGTATGTTTTGGATTTCTGGGGAGGGATTGTTTGTAAAAGAAAAGTTGACTTCTTTCTGAAGTATTTGAACAGAATACTTTTCTTAAACTTAAAAGGTAATGGTAACAGACTGAGGTTTTTTTCTCCCTTTTGTGTTTTGTGTTGTGGAATGATCTGCTTTACTAAAGCATTTTGTGATTTGGGGGTTGGGTTAGATGACCTCTAAAGGTCCCTTCCAACCCAAAGCATTCTGTAATTCTATGATTTAGGAAATGTTGATCTTCGTCCTAATGGCTGAAACAGATGTTTTTGAAATGCAGGAAGGTCCCAGGAGATGGCAGTGTACAATAACACATTTCAAAATATTTCTTGGAAACTAAAAGCATTTCACAATTAAAATAGAGTTGTTACTTTGTAAAACGTTCATATTAGTATTTCAGGGAAGTTTATCAAAGAACAAAATGATCAGGTTTGTTTGTTTACTGATAGCCTACTTTAGTAGACAAGTTTGCATGTCTTATCTTTTATACAGTGAACCACCACTGCATATTAACTGAAGCACTAGATGATAAGCATTGGTTTGCCTTGTTCAGCATCTTTATATGCAATTCAGTAATAGGTTGTAATCTGCAATAGGCTGTAGTCTGCATTTGTGGTTCAGATAGCTAATGATTAAGTTTATTTTTATATTTTTACTGTAACGCTACACACAATTTTTCTGTATTGTCCTATATTGCAATTTAAACTCTGAGTCTAACCTAATTTAACACATTTTTTAGTAGTGTTCATACTGCTGAGGTATACATGGTGCCTCAATTTTAATAATTGTACTCTACTAAATAAATACATATTTTAATTTTTTTAATAAAGAGAAACATATCTATTGAGATTAAGAAAACCTTGTATCAACTCCAGCTTTGGATTTTTCCAATTTTTTGAGAATATAGCCTGATAGCAAAACTTTTTTTTTTTTTTTTTTAGCATTTATTTATGACTGTTGAGAATTGTTAGGATGAAAATAAACTTATCTTAGCAAAATTTCATCACATGCTCTTCAGGAAAAGAAGATGTAATTTTAAATAAAGGTTTTTATGTACTTTAAGGGAATTGAAAGAGTTGAAAATATCTTCTCTTTAATGTTTCGAAGTTGGGTCCAATATTTGGAGCCAGGTTTTGCAATGAAGTCCAGGAGACAACATGTGAATTTCTTTGTGGAGTTTATTATTATCTGAGAGTGTTAAAAAGGATTTGCTTCCATTGTGGGAACAATCTGCGGCCAGCTCTGAAGGTTACTTGCACCAGGCTAAGCACCTTTCATGTCCTGGTGCCAGCTTTGAGCCCTTTTTTGAAATCTGTGAAAGAACAGCACTTGTCACTGCAATGGGATCTCAAGAAAACAAGGTTATATGGCAACATCTGGATGAAACCAATGTCTTTGTGGTAATTGAGGAGTTATAAAAAGCAGGAATTGTTTCAAAATGTCAAGTTCTTTTTATGATTTCTTTCACAGTAGCTGGTGTCCGTGAAGATGTCTTTCTGATCTGGAAGGAGTTGGAGGAAGCGAGGAGTACAGTAAGACAAGTTCAGCAAATTTTATCAGGATCTGACCAGCCTGCTTCTCGAGATGGTATCATTTATGTTTCTTTCAAGAGAGTTACTATTATATTCATGATCAATATTTTATTTGTGAATTGATTACATGTCAATTTGGGGTGGTTTTCTCAGAAATGTCTTTATACAGGTAGCACCTATACTTGGCATCTAAACTTAGGGTTGCTTAAAACTTTCCATTACAAATCTCTCTTTACCACTGCTTAAACTTGCTGAACTTTAACAGCTCAGCCTGAAACACACCATTTTTAGTTCACCAGTGACTAGGTTTAGAAATTGCCTGGAGTTCAAGACACTGAAATTCATTTTTTGTGGTCTCTCCCTCTCTGCCTGGGCCAGTAAATCTTTTAACTTTATTCTACACAGTGCTGGGGAAGTACCTCAGTTTTCTCTGTTTGAACATCTGTCAATAACATAACTCTGCAGGACTCAAGCTTGAGTTTGTTCTTCTGTGAGGGCGTAATACAGTTTTTATACTGATAATAGCAACTTTTGAACTAGCAGGACTTCCCATATGAAGTTAAACAGCTATACCATAATGCATATGAACAAAAAGACCACAATAAAGCTGCAAGGGCAGCCCTAATTTCAGTGTTTATTTATGTGCTCCTGACTATGCAGCTTTAATGTTCTTTTAGTGTTTGTCTTCATACATAATCACTTCATAAATAAATTAAATGAAATTACAGTGTGATTTATTTTGTGAGTTCTTCAGCATTATTTGCCTGTTGCCCATTGATCCAAATAACTGCAGTCTTTCTGTTTGCCTGCATTTCTTCCTGGTTTTGCCTTCCTGATCTCTTTAAAATGCTCTGCTGCAAAATGTAGTTTGTTTTTAAGATTGCAATTTTCTTCAGGAGAAGAAACAGAGAAAAAGAGACAAATTTTCTGCTGACTCTCCAGATAATGCACTAGTTTTTTACCTGAACGGAGACATGACTTTTTATGTAAAGCATGCGGAAGAAAGAAAATGACAGTTTTCTTTTTAAAATTATGTAGTGTATTTGTGACACTTGTGACAACTTGGCTATTCTAAGGACCACAATGAATCAGAAAGCAAATGTTTCCACATGAACAGTCTCTGACCCTGCACCTGCCCTGATGCTGGCTGATCTCTGTGTGTGTTAAGGCAGTAACTGTCTCCATAGGTTTGTTTACAGACTTAGGATCTCAATACTGTTGTCACTGTAGCTGCATCTAAACAGAGTAGACATTTATACCACCTAAGTCCACTGAAATTAAAGTCTGACAAAATGAATTCACCCTGCTATGAGACCCACTGCTGGGTCATTTGGTTTAGGTGTAGTTTATTGAGCTAGCGATGAGTGAGTGTAGAGCCCTGTATCCTATTACCAGTATCCAGAGATGTGCGGTGCCCAACCTTAAGAGGGTCCTTACAAAACTTCTAAGACAATATGACATAAAAGGGTAAACATGAGAACAGTCATACCAGATCAGACAAAAAATACCCTGCTTCTTTCAGTATCAATTAAAGATGCTAAATGGAGGGTGTAGAACTGGAGAAAATATCAAGGTGGTACACAAATGACTTGTGACTTGGGATGCATGGTGCAATATTCAGCCTATAAAAAGGCAATATTGCAGAGAAACACAGTAAAATCTCTTCCAAAGACATTGTAGTTTGCCTTTTACTTTAAACGGCCTTCTCTGGAAAAGACCAATGGCAATGTTAGCTGATGTTCTCAACTGTATTTTCAGTTATATCTTCCGTTGTTTCATTTTCTCAAATGATTCTCCTTGAAGTTAGATATGTTATACAGGAATCTTTTCTGGCAGTTTCTAATTCAACCAGTATGAAGACTAAGTCAACCTTCATACTACTAAGAATATTCCCTTTATATGTTGATCCTGTAGCTAATATCTTCTTTGCTGTCTGTCTTCTCATGGGTTTGTTCCATTTACAAAGGAATTTGTTGTGAAGAAATGCCTGATGAGAAAAAAAAAACAACGCACAACCAAAGTAAAGAATATTAAAAATCAGTCAGAAATATCCTCTCATTCCAAAGCTGTTGGTGAAGCAGAACATGTTTGAGAATTTTGACCGCAGCATCATAACCTGTTCTTGAAAATACCTTATCCAAAATGAACCATGTCATACAGGAGGTTTCATTTGTTTTATTTTCTTTATTAGCAACCAAAGCTGATCATCTGTTACAAAAGCATACATGTGACAAATATTTGTCTTCTGAGAAGTGGTTGCAGAAGTATGGCTTGAAAGCTCAGAAGCTCACATTGTACGATGCGCTTGCTGATTGTACTTTTCGCCATGCGGATGGGATTGTTGACATAAAAACTAAACCAGAGGATGAATCTTCACAAACTGATGCTGTGAGTATTGTCAATTTTCCCTCATGTCCTCTGAGTTGATTGATTTTTCTTTTAAAACTTGGAAACTTGACTGATAGATGAATTTATGATAAAGCATATGGTCCATTGTTACCTAATTTTTGTTAAAACCAGCTTATTAGTGGAATGGGACAAAGATGGTCATAAATAAGATTGTTTCAAAGGGCTATTTGAAAATGACTGTTTCAAGGACTTCTTCCTGGTAGACATATAATCTGCAAGGAAGAATCAGGGCTGGCTTAAGCAGTGCCTTGTTTTTCTATGTATTTATGCGGGGTAGGGCAAAGACTGCTTCTCATCTTTATTTTTCCTTAGAAGTGTTAGTCTCAGCTGCTCCAGTGTTTGCAGATCCTTAAGCAAATTTGGATTAATTTGTCTTCTATTTGTTTTTCTCAAGCATTACACTGTTTGATAAGCTTCTATTCTTGCTAACTACAAGGATAAAACCAGTTTCTATTGACTTTTGCTAGCAGCAAATTCTGTGACCACCCTATCTCATGTCTATTTCTGCACCTGTTCATGTGCAACAAGCGTGTACCTTTGAAGTTTGTTCACCAAATATTAAAGGCACTGCAAAATAATGTGTTTTGGAACATAAAACGTGTTTTTCTTGGCTGTAGGAGACAAAGAGGAAGGTAATTCATGCAAAATACTGTGACAAGTTTGTACATACCTTCTGGAAAGATGGATCTGTAGTTCATGTATATGTTAGTACAGAAAAGTATAAGCAGTACGAAGAGAAAATGAGGATGGCTCTCAGACAGGTGGAAGGAAGGTTAGTGTTCTGTCACATAAAATCAGTTTGTATTATTTTACATTGGTGTTGAAATGTTTGACATTTACTGCCATAATAAGCTGAAGTGGTTGGTAAACTGCCAGTAGCAGTACTAAGCCAGAGATCCATTTTAGATCAGAATCTTGTGTGTAGGATTTCTTACTAGCCGTATAAGAAAACCGATGAACAGTTTTATCTTTGGTTCTCCTTCTGGAACACAAATGTGAAAGTCGGTCTGCACATTATTGAAATACTGCTGAAAGTGCCAAAAAGCATCGGGACATAAGGTGGCAGAGAACTTTTAGAATCATCAATAAAACTTGGGTCAACATTCATCCTGTGTACCTAGGGTCTCTTGTGATACCTCTGACACCAAGTAGCGCAGCTTGGCTTGTGCCCATACTGATAATGGTTATCTGCCCTTTCTGCAATTTTGTGTTGAAGACAAGTTTGAACAGTTTAGATCAGAGTCAGGGCATGAGCTACTAAGTAATGCATGTCATCAGAAGTTCAGTGCTCAAGCTAGCTTCCTAGTTTACTTTTCTGCAGCTGTATAGATACACTCTTAGATTTGGTAGGACATCTACAAAAAAAAGATAGGCCATCTGAGGGTCCGATTCATCTGTCCTAAAGATGCCCTAAAGTAAACTGGCTTTTATATCTACATTAGGAGAAGAAGGAAACTTTCAAAATGGATATTGTGGAACCGAGAGAAAGAATAAATGTTGCCCTCTGTTTTGTATATTAGGACAATGAGATGTCTCACTGAAAAAAGCAGGATGTGAACTTTCATTTTATTGCTGCTTCTCTACCAAAAGTATAACAGCCTGATTACATTTAGCAAGGTCAAACAGAGTTTTCTTACTCCTTTTAGTTTATCTTCATCTTGCTGTATTTAGGATAACATTAACATGCTGTGAAAGGAAAATTGGAGGTAAAGGATTTTTGAAAAGCCAAGATTATGGGTTTGCTGTTTTGAATGTTTCATCTCATTGTTAAAAAGTCTTGGTAGACCTGATCAACACTTTGGGGGAAATAACTAATAGCAAAATAGTTATCAGTAGCAAATGTAAGAGGTTCCTTTAAGTTTCCATGATATAATTTTTTTAAGTCTCTGTGGAGATGAGTAATATTTTTCCCAGGGCCATTATATTCCGTCTGTTAAATGTCTCTGTTTTAGAGTAGACAAGTAGTTTCTGACTCTCAAGGGAAATCAGATTTGGACCTGCTGCAGCCATTACTGAGGAAATGTTCTAGTACACAGCAGTATGTAGGCACGTATTTAACTGGCAGGCATGCTTAAATTCTGTTTAAAATGTAAAACTGTATCTGTATTTAAGGCTGAAGGTCAGCAAAGCATTGAAGCATCTGTGTTATATTAAGACTCTTCAAAGTGCTTAAGTTCCTTGCAGAATAGGTTCTCAAGTGGTTTCCTGAAAAGGGAGGCATATTAGCATATACTTAAATGATTTCCTGAGTTCAGGCTGGAGAACAGTTACAGGGGCAATAGTTACAGTTACTTCCACATGACATTTCCCAGATCAAACTACCTGATAATTGACTTTATAAAGGTGCTGTATTGCTTTGTCTGTTTCATCTGTCTCCTACTGAAATTAGGAAATAAAAATGCTTTGTGTTCTTATGTAGTGACAGAGGATTGGTTCATCAAGGCCAATATACTGCTTCTGAGAGTGACTAGTAACAGGTGCTCAGGGAAAG